GAAGTGAGGTTCTTACCCACGAAAGCTTATGCTCCCAATACTTCTGTTAGTCTTAAAGGTGCCACAGGACCCTCACCTCATTGTTGTGACCTTGTACTATGGGACTGCTTTGTTTAGATACTTGAGACCCAACTCAGCCTCCTCAGTTGTTCTAGACAGGGTATTATCCATCCAGTATGTCATCTTAACCCCCATGTTAAACCCCATTATCTATAGCTTGAAAATAAGGAGGTGAAAACAGCTCTGAAGAGAATATTGGGAGGGAAATCTCATATTTCTCATGTAATGTAAATCCATTCAATTAAATGTTTCATTCAACTGCCCATTCAACTAATCTCAGTGTTTACAATGAACTGGGAATGTTTGCTCTTGTATTGATATCCTTTGCTTGATTTTCAACAACCGTCGGGTAAGGCTTTTCAAAAGTGTCTTATGGAGGTTGGGGCCCAATTCCCATCAGAAAAAAATGGGTGTTTAAACCCATTAGAAACGTTTGGAAGTCTCACCTTTAGTGTATTAATATATTTTAATTAAACCAGATTTTTGTTAGATTTTTACATAGAGGAAATATGAGCCATTAAGTACTTTAGAACCTCAGAGTAACAAAAACCAGATTTAAGAACTGACCTGTCAACCACACACCTCATTTAGAACTGGAAGTACACAATCAGGCAGCAGCAGAGACAAAAACAAAAAGGAAATACTGTACAGTACAGTACAGTATTAAAGGTAAACTACTAAAAAAATAAAGGGTAAGTTTGAAAAAAAAAGATTTGACAAGGTAAAGAAACTGTTTCCGTGCTTGTTTCATTTAAATGAAGATGGTTAAAAGTAGCATTCTTCTTCTGCATAGTAAAGTTTCAAAACTGTATTAAGCCAATGTCCAGTGGTAAAGTTTTGAAAGAACAACTATAGTGTTTTGTTCAGATTTATGAACATTTCAGAGTTACAAACAACCTCCATTCCTGAGGTGTTTGCAACTCTGTGGTTGTACTGTATAATAATGTTCTCTGAACCTTACCAGCTGTGAAATGATCTTCACCAAGGGTGGTTCTTTTCTCCTCTTTTTAAGGAAATTGTTGCCCAGGGGGGCTGGAAGTCAGGTCTCCTGGGCCATATTCCCAGCCCTAGGAGGGGAGGGGAGTCTAGTGGATTAGTTCAGAGCAGGATGGGGCTCAGGACTCCTGGGTCCTATTCCCTGCTTTGGGAGTGGTACTTGGCTGGAAGACGGGGGAGGGAATCAGGATTCCTATTGATATCACATTGTTGCATTATGGAGTTAATAAAATAGCTCAATCTACAGGATACATCAATCCAGGGCTGCCCATCACCATGGCATTAGTGAAAGAATACGAAACACTTGGATCAAATGGTGATTTTTTTTAATCCAGTTCTGGTACTTTATTCACTTATACCAGGCTAAATCAGGAGTGTTTGAGTTAAGTGAATAGTGTAACTCAAATCGACATAGCTTAGATCTACTTACCGCAGTGTCCAACTACGCTGTGTCAATGGGTGAGCATCCCCTTCCTCTTCTCGATCTGGTGGATTACCGGAGTCAATGTCTGAGCGATCGGCAGTTGATTTAATGGGTTTTCCCTAGACCCGCTAAATCGACCCCTGGTGGATCAATCACTGCAGCGTCGATCCCGGCTGTAGTGTAGACAAGTCCTGAGCCTGGGAAGCATCCTCAATGAAATAATCTATGCACCAGACCTAAAGTGTCTGTGTAGTGTTTAGATGCTACCACCATAGACAAAGTCTTTCTCTTTGGAAGTACTCTATGGTATATAAAAATGTGAAGTCTAAGTTGTTCCACTTTTTGTCATTTTGTTAGCTGCACAACCAGTCCAAACTAGCTTTTTCTAATCAGATGTGTCCTTAGACAATGCTGTCTTTATGGCTATGGAATAGAGACTACTTTGTATTTATTCTTCTGCTCCGATCAAAATGTCATAACATTTCCATTCATGTTTATTAAATTTGTTCATTTTGTTCTCTCTTCTCTCCTTATAAGTCATAGATTTGCTAAATAAATGTCAAAAGAAAATCAAACCACTGCCACCTATTTTATTCACTTGGGAGCTCCTAAAGACCCATTGATTCAAACTTTATTCTTCATGATGATTTCATTTATTTATCTGATAACCCTCATGGCGAGTGTGATATCATCCAGGTGACAGAGGCTGATCCTCAGTTTTATACTCTTATGTACATTTTCCTCTTCCATTTATCTTTCTTCGATATTTGTTATTACTTTGTCACACTCCCTAAAATGCTGGAAAATTGCCTAATCCAGGTGAAAACCATTTCTGTGAAGGGCTGCATTGTCTAGATCCTGGCTGGTTGTGGTGAAATTCACATTCTTTCCATGATAGCTTATGATCAATACACTGCCATATGTCAGCCAATGCATTAAGTTAAGATTATGAACAAACAAGTCTGCAGTTACATTCTTCCTCATCCTAGTCACCTACATGGACATCATCTCGGCTATCCTGAGGATACGCTCCTCAATTGGTAGACACAAAACCTTCTCCACTTACAGTTCCCCCGCTACTCTGGTTTCCTTATTCTACTAGATTCTTCAGTTGTCTGATACCCAGCTCAGAAGGGGGTTTTGGATAGAATGTTCTCCATCCAGTACAAGTTGTTAATGCCCATGTTAAACATCATCATCCAGAGCCTGAAAACCAAAGAGGTGAAAACAGCTGTTGAGAAAATATTGGGGAAATGCAAGGAATGTAAATATTACTACTTTTAGTTTTGAAGTAAAGACATAGGAACTGAGTGATAAAATGATCTGAGTTCGTGTAATTTATTGGCACATTGAATTCAGTCCATAAATGATAATGTTCTGCTTCAACCACTGCAACTTGGAGTCATAATAGACTTTTGGAACTATCAAGCCATCTTGTCTCAAAGGGATTGTCGTCAAGGGGATATATGAAAGGACAGCAAATGTTGAGTTAATATGTAATCCATATTTCAATTAAAATGTCCATTTTTTTAATTGTCACTAAGTTTTAAAAGAAAATATGTTTCACAATGGAAAAATAGTTGTGAATATTTTCTGAAAATAAGTCTTGACCAACAGCCCACTGGGAACATTCAGTGTTTCGTGTCTGAGAGGGGTTGCTAGTAACTGCTCAAAATGGTTCATAGATTCATAGACCCAGAGCCACAGAGAGAATTAGGTGTTGCCGCACCTAACTTTTAGGCACCTAGAAAATAACTAGAACAAGAATGGAATCCAGTAAACCTGATTTAAGCACCTAGGCTGCCTATGCAATGCATGGAGAGAGATAGGAGCCTGCGAACATGATCCACATAAGCCAATAAGCTAGGCAAGGAGCCACATAAGCTAGCCACTGGTCACCTGTGTCTTAAGCTGCACCCCTCTCACAGAGTTTGGTGCCAAAGTCTGTGCTTCAGGGAGGTACTTATCTGTGATTCCAAGGCACAGCCAAGGCCTCCCTTTCCTGGTGTCAGACAGTTTAGGAGTGTAATTTCTTGGAAGAATGAATTAGGGCCAGTTTAGCACCACACAAAATGGTCACCTCCCTTATAACCTTTAAGCCAGTGGTTAGAACACTGAGATGGGAGGTGGGAAACTCTATTTCAAGTTCCCTTTGTGCCTGATGAAGAGAAGGGATTTGCATAGGGATCTCCCCCTCTAAGGTGAGTGCCCTAACCACTGGACCACAGAGTTATTTGCATACTTTTTCTGGCCCATAAATTAAGACATAAATTAAGCAATCCCAGCCCATCTGAATTAAGTAGCTTCTTCGCTTTTGACTTCAATGGGACCAAAGTGTGGCAAACGTTGTCTAAAAGCTGCAGAAAAAGCACCTTTAGCTCATGCCAGGTTAAAACCTTCAGAGAATTCAGGAGGTTGTCCTGACGTTACACAAAATATTCAACAAGCAGAATTGTACTGCACGTTTGGAGGTAGGGAAACATTCATTTAAACCAGTGTTTCTCAAACTGGGGTCCGCGGACCCCTGGGGGTCACCGAGAGTACTCCAGGAGATCCATGAGCCCCACTGATCAACTCCTCCCCCTCCTTCCCGCCCTCAAGTTCTCCCCTTCCCTCTATCTCCCGGAGGCTACTGAAGCCAAACCGGGAGATTTTAGGTGCTAAAAGTCTGACGGCACAGCGGGGCTAAGGCAGGCTCCCTGCCTGTCCTGACCCCACGCCGCTCCCAAAAGACACCAGGATGTCCCTGCGGCCCCTGGGGGGTGGGGGGAAGAGGGTCTCCATGTGCTGCCCCTGCCCTGAGCGCCAACTCCACAGCTCTTATTGTCTGGGAACTGTAGCCAATAGGAGCTGCGGAGGCGGGTGCCTTCGGGCAGGGGCAGCATGTGGAGACCCCTTGCCCCCCCCACCTAGGAACCACTGCCAGAGGGATGTGCTGGTCGCTTTCGGGAGCCACCCGAGGTAAGTGCCACCCGGCCGGAGCCTGAACCCCACACCCCCTCCTGCACCCCAATCTCATGTCCCAGTCCAGAACCCACACCTACACCCAAACTCCCTCCCGGAGCCTGCACCCCCTCCTGCACTTCACCCCCCTGCCCCAGGCTGCACCCCACACCCCCTCCTGCACCCCAACCCTCTGCCCCAGCCTGGTGAAAGTTTAACTCAGATCAGAGTTACCATGATAAATAACTCCAGGCAACCCATAATCTGAATGGTACACTAGATATTTACTGATGGTATGTCAAAGTTCTCACCTGATGTCTTTAAAATACTCAGACATATGATCCCCCTCCCCGTGCCCAGCCATCTGATCTTCTGACTCAGAGCCCCACCCAGCAATCTGACCTGATGTTCCTGAGACCCCATCCAGCAACATGACCACCTGCTGAATGAGAGAAATAGCCAATATATATAATTAAAATTTTAATGTAATTTAAATAAAAAATAAACATGCAGCGGTGTGGCTTTTGTGGTAAAGCAATTGGCTGTTCAGACAGACATCCAGCAGCATATCTCAGGGGTGGCAGGCATACATTCAGAATTAATTGGAAACCTATGGGTTAATGCCTTGCTCTTTGTTCTTCACTGAGTATAAATAGACACATATCTCTGTAAATGAAATCAATTCTGACTTGAGCGCCTCTCCGACCTAGCTGGATTTCCCTATTCAAGGTGAAGAATGCTCTGCTTTGCCATGTGCAGCTGTCGAGATAGACTCTCACTCTTTAATCGGTACCACTAGTAATGATGGAGAAGCCTCAGATGTCTCACACTTCCTGTGATTTCCTTGGAACTATTGCATAAGTTTGTTTACATTTTATTTCTACTGAATTTCTTAGCTTGCTCTTAGAAATACCAGCAGCAGATATGAGCCTGAGATATGATGAAGTAGTTTCAATTTCTGATACCCATCATCTCAGGGGATCTAGTCACTTCTGTGTGTAAACATTTAGAATGAAGAAGTCAATGTCTTTATATTGGTACGTAACAAAGGAATTTTTTGGTCTTTCAGGCCAGGTATTTTTTATAATTCTATAAATTATTTTAATATGTTGCCTGTTCCTCCCCCCATTAAGTTTTTTTAAGTCCTTCACCCATCCACCAGATTCACAAAGGGACCTTCGTGCCCTGACTTCCATGTTAGATGCCTAAAACCTCTGCTCATCTGCTGACTTACTCAGTCGGCGCCTAAACTCATTTGACGCCTACAATTTTTGCAGTGAAAGTTCCCAAGGCACCTACATTTCTGCCTCTGAGCAGGTGAACTGATACGGCTAGACATCCAGACATCTCAGCCCTGGAGTGATCCACAACCCGGGGGAAGATAGACCCTCCTCTGCCTATCTCATCCTATCCAGTAGGCAAACACTGAGGACTGGATTAGGCCCTATTCAAAATCTGTCTGGAGAAGGAGGAGTTGACTTTATAACTATTAGATCAGTGGTTAGTGCACTCACATGTGAAACCTGTGTAATTCCCTCTTCCTCCTGATACAGAAAAAGGGTTTGAACAATGGTCTCCCCTGTCTCAGAAAAGTGCTCTGTGCACAGAACTATGGGATAGTCTGATGTATGGCTCCTGCAGTCTCTCCTGTTGGACCTGCTCCACGTTGGATAAATAATTAAAGACTCATCAGAGGAAGGAGACTGGATCCAGGTCTCCAACATTCCAGGTGCGTGCCCTAACCGTCAACCTATGTAGTCATTCGCAGGCTTTTGCTGGCCCAGTGATTAGTTCCCTGAACCTTTCATTCAATGACACAGTGCTTTAACTGTCTTCCTGTGAATTCCCTTTTCTTTTTTGGAGCTGACCCCTCCTATGCCTATATTTACCCCTGTGCAGTACTAAATTCATCTTGTGCTTGGAAGTTCTATTTTGCTGCTTCAGTTCCCACTTCTCTGAAGCTCCATTTGTTCCCCCGTTAATGGCCCTGAGATTAGTCTGGGGACCTGGAATTGCAACTCTCAGCAGACTATCTCAACCGTATCCCACTTGCAGATGTTTACTTATGCTGGGCAGCCCCTTACTCCCTGAGTCAATGAGACTGAAAGGGACTAAGGTATCACGATCTGGCCTGGAGGATTCACAGGTGGGTGGAACCCTATGTTCAGCCTGATGGTGGCCAACCCTGAATATTGGGTATTTGGCATGGTGGTCATTTAACCCCAAACAGGAGCCAAGTAATAATAATACCTCGCTCTTATACACCCATTACTTCCAAAGCATCATTGCTGCCATGTCACACAGATGGGGAAACAGACACAGGAAGGGGAAGTGACTTTGCAAGGTCTCCCAGCAGGTCAGTGGCAGAGCTGGGTTTACCTCCCATCCCATTATATTTCAAAGTCAATGAAGCTGTGGGATTCCACTTTCAAATCCATCCCTATGTCCATATTTTATTCTTTTGTGTCTCTTCCCCCCTTCTCAGTGCTGGTGGGAGGGTGGATTTTTGATTGGATCAGCATGGAAAAGACAATCCCTGGGGTCCTGAGATGGGGGGAAAGGGCTGGGGCTGGCCGCTCCAGCACCTTCACACCTCCTCCTACCCAGAATGCATGTGGAGATTCTGATTTTTCCAAGAACATCAATAAAACTCAGGACACAACTGGCAAAAAGGGCTCTCTCTTTGTCTAGGTTTTTCATTAAATCACCTATCACCATTTCTTTGAACATCAGTCATTTTTCAGAGCCATGTGTTTATTATATGGTTGCATTATTTACCTTGCAAAATAACTTTTCCTTCCTGGAACTGAAATCTTCAGATGTCACAGGAAAATGTTGGGAACAGAATTCAGTACCTTGGCAGGGAAAGTGTCCAGAAGATGTGAATTTCAAGAAGTGGTTCTGAATATGGAAAGAGTTTAAGGACCACTATGTTGCCGAAACCTGTGTAGCTTCAGTAGATAAAGCAGAATGCCAACACTTTAAACCACATTTATAAGGTAGAATTTGATGCAGTAGCACTTATTTTACATTTCTTGTGTTACCAAGATTATTTATCTAAGGAAGTACTTAGATAATAATATCATGGTGAAGATACAATTACTTTTTGTTGGTTTTATGCATTTTTCTCTACTTGCAGGTCTCAGTTTTGCTGAAAAAAAGAAGTCAAAGGAGAATCAAACCACTGTGATCCATTTTATTCTCTTTGGACTTTCCAGTGATCCAAAGATCCAGATTTTCTTCTTTGTGTTGTTTTTAGTTATTTATCTCATCACTCTGTTGGGGAACATGCTGATCATTCTGGTGATAAAGGCTGATCCTCAACTCCACACCCCCATGTACTTTTTCCTGAGTAACTTATCTTTCCTTGACATCTGTTATTCCTCTGTCTCTGTCCCTAAGATGCTGGTAGATTTCTTGAGAGAGGAAAAAACAATTTCTGTAAATGCCTGCATTGCCCAGATATTCTTTATTTTTATGTCATCCTGTACTGAAGTTTTAATTCTTGCAGCCATGGCTTATGACCGATATGCTGCCATATGTGATCCATTGCATTACATGGTGACCATGAATAAACAGGTCTGCTGTCAGCTAGTGGGTGGTGCATGGACAATGGCTCTCTTATATGCACTGATAAACACTCTTCCTCTGTCAGAGATGCAATTCTGTGGGCTCAGTGAAATCAGTCATTTCATCTGTGAACTCCCTTCCGTATTAGATCTGTCCTGTACTGAGACTTTTACCAGTCAAGTGGTGTTTTTCACTTCTGCTATGGTCATAGGGCTCATCTCATTCTCCTTCACTATACACTCTTACATACACATCATCTCCACCGTCCTGAGGATACCCTCCTCAGAGGGCAGGCATAAAGCCTTCTCCACCTGCAGCTCCCACCTCGTTGTGGTTGTTTTATGCTATGGGACTGGTTTGTTTCGGTACATGAGACCCAACTCAGTCTCTTCAATGATTCTGGACAGACTGTTCACCATCCAGTACAGCATCTTAACCCCTATGTTAAACCCCATCATCTATAGTCTGAAAAATAAGGAGATGAAAATAGCACTTTGGAAAATACTGGGGAAATATTTCTCATGTAATGTAATGTAAAACCCTCTTAAGCTGAATGTTTAATAAAGAACCAGGGAATGCTGGCTGATCACGGATGTGTGTTATTGACTGAAAAAAATGTGTTCATACCAAACCAAACAAATAGGAACTAAAATCAATTGGCGTTCTAACATTGACTTTAAAAGATAATGGATAAGGCCCATGTTCATCACTGACAGTGATTTTGCTTTGTTTGCATCACAGTAATCTTTACTTTGGAAGGGACTTCTATTGAGTAAATGCTTTTGAATTTAAAACGATCATAATTTCAAATGCAGATATAAAACAAGTGCAGGCTTTTGTTTAAAATATGGGTACACTTGACCGTATCATGTCCACTTAATCTTCTCCAAAATCACAGTCAACAAGTGCTTATTTCTTGGGGTCATTGCAGTCTCTGGAAGTGGAGTTTGTTTGAATGGTATAAACATGAGATTGGGAATCAAGATTTGTGGGTTTTATTCCCAGCTCTGCAGCAATTAATTTCATGATCTAAACAGACTTCAATGTCCATGTCTGGATAGCACTTCTATGTAGACTTTTTGTGTCATAGTTGCCATGAAAACCATGGCACTGTCCTAGATGACTTTGAAATCCAGTATGACCGGGAACAGCTTAGGTACTGTGTTTAGTTTTCACTCTGATCCTCCACACTGAGGCCCAGTTCCACAAAGTGATTAAGAACCATCAGCACTGCAACACAACTTTTTTTCACCTTGAAAATCCCTGGATTCCACAAAGCCTGAGTTAGTTGCCTAGGCTTGCTGTGCAGTAAATGGGGATAGAGATGCAGCATGGAATGGGATCCCCAAAAGCCAGCACACTTGGTGACTCCCTGCCTAAACTAGCCAGTGGGAGCTCCAAGGGGGGAGGAGTGTGTTCTAAGCCCCACCCACTTCTCACAGAGTTTGGTATCTAAACCCAGGTTGCAGGGAGGTACTTATCTCTGCTTGTGATCCATGAATGGGACCCCTCTCCTGGTGTCAGGCAGCTTAGATGCCTAAACCATGTCTTGCAAGAGTAGCTTTGGTATCTATCTAATGCCATGTTGTCAAGGTTCCTTCCCCACTCTGAACTCTAGGGTACAGATGTGTGGGACCTGCATGAGAACCTCTAAACTGAATTACCAGCTTAGATCTGGTTTTGCTGCCACCACTCCCAAGTGCTAACTCCCTTCCCTGGGTAGCCTTGAGAGACTTCTTCACCCACCAATTCCTGATCAGTCCAGATCCAATCCCCTTGGATCTTAAAACAAGGAAAAATCAATCAGGTTCTTAAAAAGAAGGCTTTTAATTAAAGAAAGAAAGGTAAATATCATCTCTGTAAAATCAGGATGGAAAATAACTTTACAGGGTCATCAGATTCAAAGAGCCCAGAGGAACCCCCCTAGCCTTAAGTTCAAAGTTACAGTAAACAGAAGTAAACCCTCTAGCAAAAGGTACATTTACAAGTTGAGAAAACAAAGATAACCCTAACACGCCTTGCCTGGCTGTTACTTACAAGTTTGAAATAAGAGAGACTTGTTCAGAAGATTTGGAGAGCATGGAGTGATGTCTGGTCCCTCTTAGTCCCAAGAGCGAACAACCCCCAAAACAAAGAGCATAAACAAAAGCCTTCCCCCCACCAAGATTTGAAAGTATCTTGCCCCCTTATTGGTCCTTTGGGTCAAGTGTCAGCCAGGTTACCTGAGGTTCTTAACCCTTTACAGGTAAAAGGATTTTGGAGTCTCTGGCCAGGAGGGATTTTATAGTATTGTACACAGGAGGGCTGTTACTCTTCCCTTTATAGTTATGATACACGTGAAGCAGGCTGGGGATGGAGGGGTAGAAGAAGGACACCTGCCTTACAACATTTAGCCCAATGGTTAGAGCCTCACTTGAGATGTGGGAACACTCCCAGCTCATGTCCCCCTTTCCCCTGAGGAGATGAAGTGTTTTGCACAGGGATCTTCCACTTTTTGAATATATATTTACATGGTTAAAGGGTGTTCAGTGCTATTTTCCCCCTGGAGAAAAAGACACCTGCAGGACAGGTGGAATTCTAGACTGATACTTTCAAATCTACCACTCATTTCTATAAATTCACATCCCTGAAGTGGCTTTGCAAATCTCATCCTTAAATCTCAAGGACTCCAAAATTTAAGACTAAGTTCAGCAAGGTACTTAAGCACGTACGTATTTTAGTCACATGGGTAGTCAATGCAACTATTCCTAATCTTAGAGCTAAATGTGTGTTTAAGCAACTTGCTGTACAGTGGCCTGGGCAAACAGAGTGTGTCTCATTCTACACAATTCTCCTTCTTTAGCCCCCTCAAAGCTCTGCTTCCAGCAGCACCTAATAAGATTTCATGAATGGGATTTTCAAAATCACTGATCATGGTGCTGTCTTTGCTCTTCTTGAAATAAAGGGCAAAAATCCCATTGATTTGAGTGGGAGGAGACTTAGAGCAATGCTAAGGGGAAGATTCTCAAAGGGGCAAGCAACAGTTAGGTGCCCAATGCCCATAGACAGCCAATGGGGTTTGGGTGCCTAACAGCCATTTGTCCATTTGAAAAGACCCCCTGAGTGCTTTGGAAATCCCTCTCTTTGGCTGGATTTTCAAATAGCCAAGGGAGTTAGGTACCAAAATCCAATTAGAGCTGTGTACCTAACTCTCTTAGGCCCATGTGAAAATCCCAGCTCTACTCTGACCTCTAGGAGCCTATGAATTGCTGGTCACCTTAGTATATTTATTGGTGCAGAAAATGGATTTCTCCTTTCCTACCTTATTTTAACTGTATAGACTGGGAATTTCAAACGAGACTAATGGATTTAGGCACCCATGGGCTCCATTATCAGTTGATGGCTCACCTTCAACTTGAATAACGTGTGTAGTTTTCATTGCTGCTTCTCAAAATAGGACATGGCAGTAACAGGAGAGGTCAAGAGAAAGGCAGTGAAAAAGGGTAGGAGTTCATATTAGAGAGACCAGGTAGGTGAGGTAATATCTTTTATTGGACCATATGTATGGGAATGGGAAGCAAGTGGTGAACTCCTCAGCCCAGGGTAAGATCCACAAAGGATAAAGCCATTTTAAGTTGTTCCTTGTGCCGCTGGGGAGCCATCTGCTGTTGGCTTTATTTCATTTATTCACCTCGCTCTTCATCAGTCATGTTCCAGGATGGGTTGAGGCAGGTAAGGGCTGCAACAGGTATGAAGTTCAGAGGGTTCTGCATTCAAGTGAGCCTCAGATGAAAGAATGGGGCCATCAAAGACTGTTCCTGCTGACAGATGTTATAGTAGATAGTCCTGCTGTCTGGAGTGGCTCACCACTGTGACTGCCCATCCCAGGGCAGACTGTCAGAAAACAGGGCAGATACCCCAAGCTGGTAGCATGTTCTATAATTAGATTTCACCAAGCCAGTGAAATCTAATTGTTGTGTTCCCAGAATTTTCCATTCAGATTTTTGTTTTTTTCAAAAAAATTGAAAATTTTAGTCAAAAATGAAATTTCCCTATTAAGTGGTTTAGTGTTGACCAAACCCCATTTTCCAGCAGAAAAAACTTCTCAACCAAAAATTTTCAAGGAGCCCTAACATAGAGCAAACCATTGGTCCAATTTTCACAGATGTTGAGCACCGAACACAATAAATAACACTTTCCACAACTTGGGTCACATTAACAAAAGGACTTAGGTGTTGCAATGGTGAACATTACAGCACCTAACCTTTAGGCAGCTGGTCACCCAGTGGAATCCACAAACCCTGAGTTAATCATCTAGGATCCCTATACAATGAATGGGGTGATATAAGTAAGCTCCTGGGGAAATCTGAGATTAATTAACTTACTCAGGGTCACACAGTAAGTCATTGATAGAGAAGAGAATGGTCCAAGTTCCCATATAGCACCCAAGCCACTAGAACATGCTTCCTGACCACTCACCCAGCTGTTGGCAGCAGTTTACACTCACTCTTTAATCACTGAGCCCAGGTGTTACTGATGACACAAGTTGAAAAAGCAGCAGACACTCAGCCCATAGGTGTTCATAGAGAATCAGCCTATAGGTTCCTTTGCAAACAGAGATGAAAAACTAGACAAGAGGGTTTTTTAATCCTTAAAGAGAAATCCCCAGCTGGTGTCAATTGATATATAATGGGGCACTAGGGGCAGCAGAGGGTGAGGGATGGGAAATATTTTACTGGATAATGGGCATTAAGACACTTAAGAGATGATCAAGGTGCTGCAGTGCCCCATAATGGACACCAGGTTGCAGCAGAGAATGGAGCATGGTCAGAGAGAGGCTGTGTAGTCACACCGTGGTGAAGAATTTTGTTGTATTTTATTTCATTCTCCAAATCATCAGCCCTGCAGTCTAGTCAAATTCTGTTGAATTCAAGGGGGGCTACACACAATGACATTAGATGGTAAATTAAAGTCTAATTAATGTCCATACAGCTTTGGGTTTGTAAGCCTCTCATGAGTTAGTCACCCACAGAGGTTAATTATCTCTTGAACAGCTCACTTTCCCTTGGAAGGGTGTTTGGAAGGGGGAAGAGCATCACCGGGTTGTTAGAAATAATGGCAAGGCCTTTGATTATTCCTGCAGCTTTAGATTCTCTTGTTAGCACTCCATCCCCCCTCTCTCCGTCATTTGCTCTCCCTCACCCTCACTCACTTTCACCAGGCTTGGGGAAGGGAGTTTGGATGCAGGAGTGGGTGCGGGGTGCAGGCTCTGGGAAGGAGTTTGGGTGCAGGAGGGGATGGGGGTGCAGGCTCTGGGAGGGAGGGAGGGAAGGAGGGAATTTGGGTGCACATCCCTCTGGCAGTGGCTCCTAGGCGGGAGTGGGGGTAGGGGTCTCCATGCATTGTCCCTGCCTGCAGGCACTGCCACCGCATCTCCCATTGGCCACAGTTTCTGGTCAATGGGAGCTGCAAAGTCAGTGCTCAGAGTGGGGGCATCATGCGGAGACCCCCTCCCCCCCCCAGGGTCCACAGGGATGCTTCTGGGACCAGTGCGGGGC